AAAAGAAAGAAAGAAAGAAAGATTTTGAAATCAGATGTCCCTAGATTTAAATTCCAGCTTTGCCACTTTTACCAGCTATTTCTTCATAGAGAAGTTACCTTACCTAAGAGGCATTTCCCCCACCAAGACAAACTTTCTCTCGCTCGCTCGCTCGCTCGCTCTCACTCTCCCTCTTCTCCGTTTCTCTTCTCTTACCTAGTACCATACTCAACATATAAGGTACTTAATAATTGGTAGCTGTTTTTCTTGTGTCCAATATATAAAAAGATATAAGCCAATGATGAGTAGTATTACAGAAATCATGAAAGAAAAGAGAAAGACTGCCTTTTTTTTTTTTAACTAAAATAAAGGCTTCTACAAATGAAAGATTTTGGCTCTCCATTCAACAGTGTGTTCCAACATAAGTGTTGGCAAACCTATGCCGACATCAAAACAGAGGGATAAAGGCAGTGCCGTGCTCACAGTGAAAGTCTGGTATCTGCTGCGTTGAGATGGCTGTACATAATAAGAGCTAACATTTCTAGAGGGTTTATTGTGCCAGGAACCGTTTTAAGTACTTTGGATGTTTTAATTCATTTAACCCTCATAATACTTTCCTTAGGTAGGCACTATGTTTTTTGTTGTTGTTGTTTGTTTGTTTGTTTTTGAGACAGGGTCTTGCTCTCTCATCCAGGCTGGAGTGCAGTGGCACAGTCATAGTTCCCTGCAGCTTTGACCTCCCGGGCTCAAGTGATTCTCCCACCTCAGCCTCCCAAGTAGCTGGGACTCCAGATGTGTACCACGATGCCTGGCTAATTTTTAAATTTTTTGTAGAGACAGCATCTCACTAAGTTGCCCAGGGTGGTCTTAAACTCCAAGGATCAAGCGACCCTCCCACCTTAGCTTCCCAAAGTACTGGGAGCCATTGTGCCCAGTCCCGTAGGTACTATTTTGATCCTCATTTTACAGATGAGGAAACTGAGGCACAGAGAAGTAGAGTAACTTACCCAGGATTGCACAGCTAGTAAGTGGAGAGCCAGGCTCCTCCTGGGCAGAGTACAGATCCATGCTTGTAAACCAGTTACTCCTCTGCCTCTCTGGGGAGTATAATGTGGAAGAGTGACAGACCTATACCAACAGTTATTAGGGAGACAGAACATTTGTTCATCCTTTTCTCCTTTATTTATTCAACTCCTCAAAAACAAAGCCAGCCTGAGACTGGGTGCAATGGCTCATGCCTATAATCCCAGCACTTTGGAAGGCCAAGGCAGGCGAGTCACTTGAGGTCAGGAGTTGGGAGACGAGCCTGGCCAACATGGTGAAACCTCATTTCTACTAAAACTGCAAAAATTAGCCAGGCGTGGTGGCACATGCCTGTAATCCCAGCTACTTGGGAGGCTGAGGCAGGAGAATTGCTTGAATCTGGGAGGCAGAGATTGCAGTGAGCTGAGACCACGCCTCTGCACTCCAGCCTGAGTGACAGAGTGAGAGTGTCTCAAAAAAAAAAGAAAGAAGAAAGAAAGAAAAGCGGGGGAGGGAGGGAGGGAAGGAGGAAGGAAGGAAGGAGAGAGAAAAAGAAAATGAAAACATAGTGCTCACCTTCATTATTTTACCCAATAAAGTGTTAAAGAGACTTAGCCAAATAAATAACAATAAAAACAGATTCAAATGAGCCGTCATTTTTTTTTTTTTTTTTGAGGCAGAGTCTCGCTCTGTCGCCCAGGCTGGAGTGCAGTGGCACCATCTCGGCTCACTGCAACCTCCACCTCTCAGGTTCAAGCAGTTCTCTGCCTCAGCCTCCTGAGTAGCTGGGATTACTGGCACCTGCCACCATGCGCGGCTAATTTTTTGTATTATCAGTAGAGATGGGGTTTCACCATCTTGGCCAGGCTGGTCTTGAACTCCTGACCTCATGATCCACCCACCTCAGCCTCCCAAAGTGCTGGGATTACAGGCAGGAGCCACTGCACCCGCCAAGCTGTCATTTTTTACCACAATAATTTACACGTGTTAATTCTCTAGAAATTAAGAATAAATTTAAAGCAACTTTGGATTTTCTTTTATTTTTTGTAGAGACAGGGTTTCACCATGTTGCCCAGGCTAGTCTTGAACTCCTGGGCTTAAGCAATCTGCCTGCCTTGTCCTCCCAAAGAGCCAGGATTACAGACGTGAGCCACCACGTCCAGGCTTACATAAGAATTTAACAATTTTTTTTCAACCTGGTGAAGAGGAGAAACTATAGGCAAGTACTATACATGATTTAAAGTAAGAAAGTATATATAGCCTAGAATCTGGTAGCAAATAATAAGCAGAGACAGGAAATCAAACAGCTTCCCATTCTTGGTGGTTAAACAGAGGAGCAAACAGCCTGACAAACTTCAAATTGCTTTGAAAGGAGAGCATCATTTTATCATGCACACACAGTACCTGGACTATATTGACAAGCCAGACATGAAATTCCATTTGGTATGCTCTGCTAAATAAATTATGTAAGCACAGTACATTTTAGAGACAGAATCTTAAAGTATACAGCTCTAAAGGTACCACCTCCCTTTTCTCATCTATAAGAATAAGAATCTCTTCCTCCAAGATTGTTATGAGGATCACGTCATGTAATATACACAATGCACTTGGCAAAATAGCAGACAGGCAAATTCTATTCTATATACTTTACTTAAGAAATTGTGGTGGGCCAAACACTGTGGCTCATGCTTGCAATCCCAACACTTTGGGAAGAAAGGAGGACTGCTTGACCCCAGGAGTTCAAGACCAACGTGGGGAACATGGCTGGTCTTGATAAACACTGTCTCTACAAAAGATAAAAAAACTTAGCTGGGCATGGTGGTGCATGCCTGTGGTTCCAGCTACTCAGGAGTCTGAGGTAGGAAGAAAGCTTGAGCCCAGGGGATCAAGGCTGCAGTGAGCCATGACTGTGCCACTGCACTCCAGCCTGGGTGACAGAGCACGACACTGTCTCTAAAAAAATAAAGAAATAAAAATAAATAAATTGTGGCAACACTTAAAACATTTTAGAACTACTTCTATCCCAAATGGCTTAATGATTTTTGAAAGCTGGTAAACAGTAAAAACTAGTCTATCTAGAATAACCTGTTCCCTGAAGAGTATTGCTAAGATGTTTTGCTTATCATTTGTGAAAACAGGAAAAACCTGTATCACAGGTGAGGTAAAGCCATATTTTTAGAGGACATATTTAGGTTACAGGGAACAACATATCAGCTCTCCAAATGGTATAATAAGCAGCAGACCAGTATATTTTTTGAAGAGGACATGACCTCTACAATAATGGTCATGACCATGGAATTTTAATAGTGCTCTGAAATTCCAGGACTCAGGCTTTTAGCCAAGTGTTTTGAAACTTGACCAACTAACTCTTCTTCCACGTGATAGTCACAGAAATCTTAAACACCCAAATAAAGCAAAACGACATGCTCACGGGAAACTATTTTCTTCCATAGTTCTGCTGAGGCTTAAAGGAGAAAGCTGAGAGGAACAAAATTCCACAGCAAAAATGTTTAAAATATCACATTGTTCAGTTCTCACTGGGGTCTCTTTCCTTTTTCCCTGTTGTCTTTTTTTTTTTTTTTTTTTTTTTTTTTTTGAGACATAGTCTTTTTTTGTCACCCAGGCTGGAGTACGGTGCGGTCTCAGCTCACTGCAACCTCCACCTCCTGGGTTCAAGCGATTCTCCTGCCTCAGCCTCCTGAGTAGCTGGGATCCGCCACCAAGCCCGGCTAGTTGTTGTATTTTTAGTAGAGACAGGGTTTCACCGTGTTGGCCAGGCTGGTCTCGAACTCCTGACCTCTAGTGATCCAGCCGGCTCAGCATCCCAAAGTGCCGGGATTATAGGCATGGGCCACTGTGCTCGATCTTGTCTCTTTTTTCCATTATGTTTCTACTGAATCTTGCATGCTATCTGGAGCTCTAAATCTTTGGGTCTTTTAATAACTGTGTGTCGGCTGGGTGCGGTGGCTAACGCCTGTAATCCCAGCACTTTGGGAGGCCGAGGCAGGCTGATCACAAGGTCAGAAGCTCGAGACCAGCCTGAACAACATGTTGAAACCCCGTCTCTACCAAAAATACAAAAATTAGCCAGGTGTGGTGGCGCGCACCTATAATTCCAGCTACTTAGGAGGCTGAGGCAGGACCGAGAGGGCGAGTGTTGCAGAGAGCTGAGATCACACGACTGCATTCCATCTTGGGTGACAGAACGAGACTCCATCTCAAACAAACAAACAAAAAACTGTGTGTCACTTTTTAAAACTACTGATGAAATCAGGTTTCTAATATCACCCAGCTAAGAGTTAAATCTCTAATCCCTGCAGGCAAAATTATCACAAATTAGAAATCATAGAGAACATAATTATAACAATTATAATAATCATAAAGAACATAAAGAACTATTACATACCTGTGGGCAAATAAAGCCTGCCCCCTACATAATGCTCCTTATGGAAGAAGATAGTACATCTCTGAGAATGAGAATATCTGCAAAGATCATCATGAAGTTGCTGAAGAAGGTTAAAGACTCGAAAGAAATTCATGATCAGAAAAAGGTAAAAGTATTTCTGGGATAAGATCTGTCTCACGGATAAAATGATAGGAGTCCAGGTGAGATCCTGTTCAGATTCCAAGAGGAGGTTCTCTTTGGGGTTTCTTTTAGGTTCAAAACACCTCACATGATACATCCCAGCGTAAAGGCTGGCAGTAGCAAGGAAAGCAATGACAATGGCAACAGCCTGGAAATGGGGCAAAATTTCCATGTTAATAGAGATCGGGCGACAGAAGAGGATACCGGTAGAGCCTAGAAGTGATGCCACTTGGTTAATTTTAATAAGCTGAAGCCAACTTTCATGTCTAGTGAAAATCTCTGCAAACAGTTTACATTGGGCTTGTTGGACACAGGTGAGCGTGCTATCAAAAGCACCTAACGATACCACCAGGTGAAGTCCACTAAGCCAGTCACCTTCTTAATAGTATTTCCAAGGAAACCACAGGAGCATGAAGGCTACTGCATAGAAAGGGACACAGTACAAGACAGAAATATGACGACTTGAACAGCATTCGGCCTTAGAGTTGTTGGGAAAATATCCAGTCAGGTCATTAAGAACATTCCATATCATTAAAATTATCTAGGAAGAAAACGAACACACAGGATTATTTCAGTGTAGTAGAATAAACTACTGCACTCAGTATAGGACAAAAATGACCCCTGATTTTTTTTTTTTTTTTTTTTTTTACTTATGTGAAATAACCAAAGGTGATCAGTAGAAAAGCTAATTGTTTTCAGAACCAGCTAAAAAATTTAATAACAGCAAATACTACTCAAAAGCCAATGTGCATTCACTTTGTGTTTTTTTTGTTTTTGTTTTTGTTTTTTTTAGACAGTCTCGTTCTGTCGCCAAACTGGAGTGCAGCGGCACAATCTTGGCTCACTGCAACCTCTGCCTTCCAGGTCCAAGTGATTTTCCTGCCTCAGCCTCCCAAGTAGCTGGGATTACAGGCATGCACCACCATGCCCAGATAATTTTTGTATTTTTAGTAGAGATGGGGTCTCACCATGTTGGCCAGGATGATCTCGATCTCTTGGCCTCGTGATCTGCCCACTTCAGCCTCCCAAAGTGCTGGGATTACAGGCGTGAGCCACTGCGCCCAGCTTGCATTCACTTTGTATTCAGGCATTGTATAAGTGTTTACATGCATTATTTTATCAAATCCTTAAAAACCCTAGCCAAGCACAGTGGCTTATGTCTGTAATCCCAGCACTTTGGGAGGCCAAGCCAGGAGAATTGCTTGAGCCCAGGGATTCAAGACCAGGCTGGGCAACATTGCGAGACCCTATCTCCACAAAAAAAAAAAAAAAAGAAGAAAGAAAAAAAATTCTCTTTTTTTGAGACAGAGTCTTGCTCTGTTGCCCAGGCTGGAGTGCAGTGGTGCAATCTCGGCTCACTGCAGCCTCTGCCTCCCAGGTTCCATTATTCTCCTGCCTCAGCCTAGTGGGTAGCTGGGATTATAAGCACATGCCACCACGCCTGGCTAATTTTCGTATTTTTAGTAGAGATGGGGTTTTACCATGTTGGCCAGGCTGGTCTCGAACTCCTGCTCAGGTGATCCATCCGCTTCAGCCTCCCAAAGTGCTGGGATTATAGGCATGAGTCACCATGCCCGGCCAAAAAATTATTTTTTATTTAATTAGCCTGGCATGGTGGCATGCACCTGTAGTCCCAGTTACTTGGAGACTGAGGTAAGAGGACTGCTTGAGCCTAGAAAGTCAAGGTGCAGTGAACCGTGATCATACCACTGCACTGCAGTCTGGGTGACAGAGAAAGACTCCCATTACAAACAAACAAACAAACAAAAAACAATCCTTTGAGGCAAGTACTATTATTACTCTGACTTTACAAATGAGAAAACTGAGAGCCAGAGAAGTTAAGCAACTTGCCTAGCTAATAAACAACAGAGCCAGGGTCTAACCCAAGGTAGATGACCCCACAGCATGTGCTTTCAATCTTGTGCTAGACTGCCTTCCAACAACAGCACACAGGGCCATGCCTCTGCAAAGATTGATGGCCTGTTTACACCAAGGCATAGTTTTACATAATTTCATTAGGAAAGGTTAAAATATCAATGTTTGGCATTTCGAATTAAATCTAATTAGTATGTTATCACTGGTAATAAATGAGTAACATTACAAAATATAAGGGTTTTAAAACTATGAACTCTTCCAGCCTGACCACCTAATTGGTAATGACTTACAATACAATTTGTGAATACTGTGGGCCTTTTCAAAACAGAATATTTTAGGACTGGGCATGGTGGCTCATGCCTGTAATCCCAACACTTTGGGAGGCTGAGGCAGGAGGATTGCTTGAGCCCAGGAGTTCGAGACCAACCTGGACAACATAGTGAGACCCCTATTTCTACAAAAAAAAAAAAAATAGCCAGGTGTGGTGGCTCACACCTGTCATCCTACTCAGGAAGCTGAGCCAGGAGGATTGCTTGATCCTAGGGAGGTCAAAGCTGCAGTGAGCTATGATTGCATCACTGCATACCAGCCTGGGCAACAGAGCAGTCTCAGGAAAAAAAAAAAAAGAGAGGGATGGAGACTGGATATCTTAGTAATAATACCGATTTTTCCACATAAATTAATTTTCCAGACAACCTAAGCTTACTCTTTAAATTCTAATACCTTTACATTTTAAATAACAATCTTTTAAAAATCTCTCTTTCCAGCTGGGCGCAGTGGCTCACACCTGTAATCCCAGCACTTTGGGAGGCCGAAGTGGGTAGATCACCTGAAGTCAGGGGTTCGAGACCAGCCTGGCCAACATGGCAAAACTCTGTCTCTACTGAAAATACAACAATTCACCGGGAGTGGTGGTGTGGGCCTGTAATCCCAGCTATTCAGGAGGCCGAGGCAGGAGAATCACTCGAACTGGGGAGGTGGAGGTTGCGGTGAGCCGAGATCGTGCACTGCACTCCAGCCTGGGTGACAGAGCAAAACTCTGTCTCAAAAACTAAAATAAAAAATAAAAATCTCTCTTTCCCTCAAAGGAAGGAGATCTGTCCTATGTGAAAGGACAGTAAAGATTCCATCTCACCTGGGTTTGAGAAAAGGCCACTTCTGAAATCGTGTACAGATGTAGAAAAAGTTTCACATAGTAGAAATCAAAGACGGAATTCAGCATTTCAGTCCCTAATGTCATCATAGAGTATGCCCAAGCAATGGGTTTGATATTTAAAAGTGCCATTTTCCATGCAGAGGAACTCTTCTTCCCTTTGTTTAAAAAAAAAAAAAAAAAAAAAAAAAAGGTTAAAATTCACTGTTTGCACACAGTAGTGGATGGGGGCCAAAACATTGCTGGCCAGTACTTAATTTTAGTTAAATAAGAGTCCAAACCTATGAGCTGTATGTCCCCAAATTTAACACCTGACTTCCTTATCTATTCACTCAATATTTTTTGAGATGCTCGCCAGGAAACCTAGTTTGCATAGAGTGTGACTCCACTTATATTTTTATCTATCTCTTCAAACTTATAAAGTGGGATTTCAGCCTGGCCAACAGGGCAAAACCTCATCTCCACAAAAATACACAAAGTAGCTGGGCATGGTGGCACACACCTGTAGTCCCAGCTACTCAGGAGGCTGAGGCAGGAGAATTGCTTGAACGCCGGAAGCAGAGGTTGCAGTGAACTGAGATGGCACCACTACAATCCAGCCTGGGCGACAGAGCAAGACTTCACCTCAAAAAAATATATAAAATAAAGTGGGATTCATCCAAGAGCTTGGACATGATTAACTAGTGTCAAGGAGATATGTTTATGCCATTATTATCCTCCCTACTTGGTAGGGTGCAACAGAAACAGAACAACAAGGTGACAGCCTTTTGCTCAAGTCAAAAAGAAAGTAAGCCCCTCATCTTAGTATAAAGTTGTTCATTCAGTAGTACAGACTTGCATTTGAAGACTTATTCTTGATATTCTGTAGCTTTGACCACAAGGACATAACTACAATGGATACAGAAATAACACATTCTGATCCTTGCTGAGATCCTTGTACGGGCCTCTCTTAAATCTAGCCTATCGTCTTACCCTTTGATTTTTATAAGTGGAAAACAGGAAAAGGCTAACCCAGCAAGAGAAAGGCATAGATTCATCTTCCTTTCAATCTTGACTATAGTTTAAAGAGAATACCATGATCTTTCTGTTCTATTCCTGGCTTACTTGAATATTTGGCCAGGTCTGTGCATCTTACTGAGTCAGAAAACAGAAACGAATTCTGGTAAGTCAAAGGATGTTACTTGCTTGAGTAATCCTTGGGCCTCTGTTTTAACTTTGTAGATCCAGGAACAGAATTAAGCAGATAGTTCGGTCTACATTGCCAAATTTCTTAGGGAAAAAGAGGGCAAGTCAGAAGGAAGAAGTGGGCATTTGGCTCAAATGACCAAATTATTTACGGTCTCTACACTTCACTTTGCACCAAGTAGACCCAAGAATGATTATAACTCCGCTGGGTGTGGTGGTGCAGACCTGTAGTCCTAGCTATTCAGGAGGCTGAGGTGGGTGGATTGGTTGAGCCCAGGAGTTTGAGGCTTCAATGAGCTATGATCTTGCCACTGCACTTTAGCCTGGGCAACAGAACAATACCCTGTCTCAAATTAAAAAAAAAAAAAAAAAAGAAGACTCTAGTTCTATGAGTGGCAGGGTCCTAGAATGATCAAAAATGGGTTATCAAACCCATATGCATACCAAGCATTGTCTACAGAATAAAGAATGTTTTGTCCACATGTGTACTTGTATTCTTAAAATGTTTGTAGCTTCTGCTGTAATGATTAAAAGTACAAATCTGATTGTTTTCATCATGATGCAGTTCCCAAACACTTCAAAACTACTATTGTGTGGAGACCAGCCAACATTTTTGACTTTAAAAGTGATTCTCAGATTTCAAAATGCTGGGAACTACCAGTGAAAACTTCACTTTAAGTTCATCCCTGAGAATGAAGACTGAGGCTAGAGGTTGCTTGGTTACTAAAAGAGTCAAAAACAAGGGAGACAGTAGAACCAAAAGCCAAGACACAAATTTAGCCTACCAAAACCTAGGGACTCTTGTTTTTCTTAGTTTTATTTCAGGTATGCTAAAAAAAGAAGCATGCTGCACCTTTCTAATCTGATCTATCATTATGTCACATGGCAGGTATTTGTAAA